ACTAAAATCTTATAACTTATTCACACAAATTTTTGTGGTCTATTCAACGTCCCTTTGTGGGGTGATGTAAAGTATTTAATCACCATTATAAATGATTTCTCACATTATAGTTATATTTATATACTACATGAAATGACTCAATCATTGGATTATCTAAAGATATACACTGATGAGATGGAAAGGTAGTTAGATAAATAAATAAAAGTTGTGAGATCTCCTTAGATTGGTGAATATTATTGTAAGTTCAATGAAAGAGGATAATGTCCTACTCCATTTGCAAACTTTCTTGAGATTTGAAATATTTGTGTGCAATACACTATAAGTGAGTCTATTTCGACATAATAGATGTTGTTGAGAGGATTAAACCGTACTTAAAGAATATGGTTAGGAGTATGTTGAGTAATTCAACATCAACGTTTTCTATGTGGATGAATGTATTAAAGACTGCTGCATATTGGGTAAATAAGGTTCCTAGTAAAATAGTTCCTTTTATGAACTGTGAACGGGTAGAAAACCTAGTTTGAGGCACCTTCATATTTGGGGGTGTCAAGCAGAAATAAAAGTATATAATCCACATGAAAAGAAACTTATTCCTAGGACAGTCAGTGGTTATTCATTGGCTATCCGAAATGTTCTAAAGGATATATGTTTTACAGGTCTAACCATAGTACGAGAATAGTTTATTCCAACAATGCTCGATTCATTGAAAATGTTCAAATCAGTGGGAGTTTGAAACTGCAAAGTTTGGATGTTAAAGAAACTCAGGTTGAACAGTCCAAACCCGAGAATCCATCAATGATTGTTATTCTTTTAGTGACAGTACCGTCATGTAACTTAGATGAATAACAAAATGATTCAAACTCACTTGATCAAGAAATTATAGAACAACCTATGGTTGATGATTGACAAGCCATGAAAAGTTAAAATTCTGGAAAAGTTTATCAATGCCATGAAAAAATAATTAAAGTCAATGGATGAAAATAAAGTCTTTAGTTCAATAGATTTACCTGAAGGGTCTAAAAGAGTTGTGTGTAAATGGGTTTTTTCGAAACCAAGCACGGCTCTAAAGGTAATATCGAAAGATATAACATTAGACTTGTTTCTAAAAGTTACACCCAAAAGGAAGGCATTGACTACAAGGAAGCATTCTCTCTCGTTTCAAGGAATGATAAACTTAGAAGGAGATCTACATGAACTAATTAAAAGTTTTTAGATCACAAGGAATGAAACGTTAGTGTGTAAGTTGAATAGATCGATATATGGACTAAAACAAGTTTCTCATGAATGGTATCTTAAGTTTAATGATACCATCACTGCTTATAGATTTGTAGAGAATACCGTAGATCGGTGTATCTACATTAAGGTCAGTGGGAGTAGATTTGTTATTTAGTTTCGTATGTCGATGACATATTATAGTTGCTAATAATGTGGACATGTTGCACGAAGTAAAGTATTATCTCTCTAAAAAAGTTATGAAATAAAGGATGTGGATGAAACGTCCTTGCTAATTGGGATAGAAATATTCTGGAATAGATCACAAGGACTAAAAGTTTATCCCATAAAAGTTTTATTTGAGAGATAATGGATGGTTGTTCCGTATAATTCCAATTCATAAAAGTGACACATTTAATCTAAAATAAATGTTCCAAAGGTGAAATGGAATGAAAAGTGATGGAGGAAATTCCTTAGATATAAATGATTAGGAGTCTTAAGTAAGACAAACCTGTACTAGGTTTGATAATATATTTGTTGTTGGTACGTTAAACAACTATAAAAATGATTTTAAATGATTATGCTGCAAAGAAATTTTTAAAGTACTTACAAGGCATTAAAGAACACATGCTAACTTAAAGAAGATCCAAATTATTTGGTTATTATTGGATACTCGGATTCAGACTTTTGCTCATAATGTCTAAAGGAGCAAAATTATGGAAAGGTGGAACAAAAGTCCATCATCGCGACTTCCACGGTGTAGGGTTGAGTTTGTGGTATGCTTTGAGGCCACAAGTCAAATTTAGGGCTACAGTGCTTTATCTTAGGACTTGAAAATGTCGACATCTTGTCCAAGCCGCTAAGAATTATCGCAGTATCGTAGCAATAATATTTCAAGGAATGACAAGTATTCAAAGGGTGTGAATCACATAAAATTAAAATACTTGATCGTAAAATATAAGTGAAGAAATAAAGTGTCATTTGAGCATTTTAGTACTAATTGCATGGAAGCGGATCCATTAAAGTGTTATTTTGAGAATAACGAAAGGGGCCTTGTTGGACTGACCGATACAAAATGAAATTGCTCAATTAATGATTTTGACACTTATTGAATTCTATTAAAGATGTTTGATTCTTCACATATAATACCATCATTATGGATATTTGATTTTATAGTATATACATAAAAGTTGGATGGCTTATGGTTATGGTACGAATAGCTTGTTCCATATTAAAGCAAAGTTGAATTAGAAATGATTTGTGGTACATGGAAGGGATCATGTCGCTCGAAGACTTGTGACCGCCATGACTCGGTTAATTTCTAGTTTGATTTTAAATTTATAGATATATGTATTCAATTATAAGTTTGATGAAAGGTGCGCGCTTAAAGTAGTTCTTTGGGTTTCAACACTATATGGTCCAAGTGGGAGAATGTAATAATATTTATATTATTCTATTATTGTGGACCATATAATTAGTTGGACCTAATTGAATTAATAGTTAAACTAATTTAAGGTGAATATATATTTAATGGATTATTAATGTTCTAATATTAAAGAGTCCAATTTGTGATGTTTGACTTGGACAATAAGTTAGGTTAGAACATGGGGAATGTTAGTAGGAATAGGTTTGTAGGACTCCTCCTATATATACTACATGCCCCTCTCTCCCATCTCATACGCAAATAAAGTTCTCAACATCAAGGGCTTTATGAAAAGACGAGAGACGCGGGAAAGAGAAACAATTCATAGGCAAAGGCGAATCCATCATTGGAGATTATGAGAAAGATAGATCCATGAGACTACGAGGATGAAGAGATCGCAGATGAACATCATAGATCAAGAAAACAGGGAAGGACTATAAGCTGGATTCTTGTAAGTTCTATGTGCAATTTAATTTATGCAAAAGATCCATATTCTATGAACTGATAGAATTACATGCTTAGGGTTTATTCAATTCCGCCTGATAGTTATGAGTATGCCCATTAAATTTCTTACCACGATTAGTAATTGTAATATCTAAAATTATATATTTTAGATTTAATACGCTGTCTTAATAATTCATTCTGTCCTTGCCTCAACCATGCACAAAAAGTCTTCCTTAAACGATGGATTAACAACAAGATTAACTGGTAAAACCCTCCACTAATTATAACTAGGAAGGCTTTTGGAAGTTTTGGAGCACAAATCACATCAGTGAATATGCGAGTTGTCTGTACTCCCGCGTTTACCGCTGGCATGTTAAATATTTCTCGCGGCCTGCCATATATGCCTAAAACAAACATCTTTTCAATGTTTCTGTCAGATTTGATCTTTGGATTAGATGAATCAAAAATATCCAATAATTTTTAATGTTATATCGTATAATAATAACATTAATTAATATACGAATGGGTCATTATTCATGTTTGGCAGTGGGGCTCTTGGCCTTTTATGCTTTAGTCCAATGCCTCCAACAACCCCACGCCCACCTTAACCCCACCCAATAGAAAGAAGAGAAAAAATATATTGAAATTTTCTGTTCTTTTCCTCTTTTTTTTTTTTCTGTTTTCTTTTTAACATTTGATTCTTCTCAAGATGGGGATATGAGATGTGTTATAGGAAATTTAACAAAAAATTATGGTTTAGTCTAGGCATCCAATAATCCTATGCAAAAAATATTACCATATTTCAACATAAGTATGGTAATATATTTCATAACACGTAACCTGATTTGATCATCGATCACTGGTCTAGTCCATTTGATCACTCTATGCAATGGTGCAAGGGATACGAATAATATTGAATCGTTCCAAAAAAATAAATTCAAATTGAAATTTAAGCAAAAAAATAATCATCTATTGTTTGAATTTTTTTCGAACAAAACCATACTAAAATAATTGTTATTGTTATTGTTGAACATAAAAATATTCCTAAACCCTTAACCGGCCCATCAAGATCAAACCGAACAGGTGCCAAGAAGAAATCTATGGCCAGAGAAGAGGCAATCTTGCATGTATCGCGGATAAAGACGAACGATCTCACAACACTAAACATTTAGCACACCCTCACTTTTTTCGTATAAATTCTACCCCTTCAGTCCTAACTAGGATCATGGCAAACACAATAAACACATCGCATATCATGATGTAAAAAGTCTTCATACACTCTTTTAATAAAAATTCTGAAGAAAATGCTCTCTTTGTCAATCTCCCTAGTAGATCGGTAAAATAGGTAGCTCATCTATTTCTTAAGCATATTTTCTAATTTTTGCAAACCTTTTTGCATCACTCTCTATTGATTTATTGCCTATAATATATAATAAATTATTGTGTAACCCCAAACTAAATCGCTCTAATAAACGTAATGTAATCGTTGATGGCCGACAATCAACAAATGGCGTTAGAAGGAAGGAGGCCATCAAGGGTTACCTCTGAACCTGCCCCTATAAAAATCATCTCTTATTGAAGTTTGTTAATGTCAATCATCTTCTATTTCAAATATAATTATAGTTAAAAACAAAGCAAATAAATCCATAAACAATCACCCTTAAACATCTATAAAATACATGAGAAAAAAAAAATTAGAGCTTATACCACTACAATGGATAAACAAAAAAAGAAAATAACCTTGAGTAGCAGAGTAGATACTGTGTTTTTAAGAAAGTTAAAAAATTCAAATCCATGGGGTTAAAAAATTCTACTAAAGCACACGCCTTTTCTGGTCCTGATTCCATCCTAATTATTTTTTCCCTTTTTTAAAATAAGACTAAAGAAAACAGTGGCATCAGTTAACCCCTTTATAAGGACTAGAAACCAGTGACTTGAAAACCCCCCCTTATGAGATACTCTCCACTCTCCAAATTCCTCAGCTTTTCTCACTCCCCCCTCTCAATACCCCACATCTCATCATATCTTCTCAGCAATCAATCAATCAATCAACCTTTTATATAATATATATATATATATAAACAACACACACAGATACACAACATTCTTGCAGAGGCAAATATGGACAACCAAAGAAGCCTTCAACTCAACTGGACAACCAATTACTTCCCCCAAGAAAAGGTGAGTGAGACCATTCTTTGAAATCAATCAATCAATAAATCTCTTAATTATTTCCACAATGCACAATGAATTAGAAGTGATTCTTTCCTTTTTCGAAAGATGTATTGTAATTGAAATATACTGTTTATGAAAACAGAGCATGGAGGATCTGAGGCAGTCCCTAATCCTGACAATGGAGCTTGAGGACACGAGGCTGAAGGCCCAACAGGAGCTGAAGATGCGAGACGAGCAAATAGCCCAACTGAAGGAGCTCTTGGGCCGGGCCCTAAAGGAGCGTGACCAGGCCCAAGAGAAGTGCCACAAGGCCATCCTCGACAAACTCATGCTCCAGCAGCAGATCCACCAGTCCGGCCCAAACTCCGGCGTCTCCAGCGTCGAGGACGACCCAAGGCACGCCTTCTCCTCCTCCGACTGCGACGAGAGCATCGTCTCCTCCCCCCGCGGCCCGGCGGCGGCGGCCGCGGCGGCGGATCTGCCGGTGGCGCCGGAGGGGCCGCTCCCGGAGAAGGGGCGGCTGCTGCAGGCGGTGATGAAGGCGGGCCCGCTCCTGCAGACGCTCCTCCTGGCGGGGCCGCTGCCGCAGTGGCGCCACCCGCCGCCGCCGCTCGAGGCGTACCAGATCCCGCCGCCGCCGGTGGTGGTGCCGGCGGCGGGGAGCCAGGATCCGTTTCAGGGGATGATTAGTTTCAACAACTGCGGCCGGATATTGAGCGGTGGAAGTAATAGTTATAATAGAAAGAGAGGGTTTAGTGAGGGGTCGGAGGCGTCGTCCATGGCCGCCATGGGATTGAAGTACCAAAGAGTTGCTCTCCATTAGTAGTAATTGAATTAAATTGAATTGAATTGACATGATCATATTATTAAGCACCCATGTCTAATTTTCGATCGCCACTCTAATTCTTTCACCTTCCAGAAGAACTGTCACTCAAAAGAATGGGAAGGTGATTATTTTGGCACTTTTTGTATAGTGGTCCAGTTTTACAGTTGTCAGGGTTAAGATAATGATCCAGAAGTTGATTTGGCAATTCTCCTATTTTTATACTTCTTTTTATTTTCTTCTTCTTTTGTGTGTATATTGTTAATAAATAGGGTGAATTTCATGATAAGCTTCTCCATGAGAGTTTTACCAGTCACCCAAATACAATGGGACGGTTAAAACCTCCGCAAATTCATGTGAATGTGTTAATAATGGGACGGTTAAAACTTCTAAAGTGAGAAACTCATGTGAATGTGTTAATAATGGGCGGTTTTGCTAGAAGTCAACAGTTGGCTTCATAGTGGAGTCAACCTTCTATATACAATAAATAAACTTATAATATTAATAAAATTATATTAATATTATTTAAGTAATCAAAGAATATGGTAGATTTACTTGTTGTATATAGAAAGTTGATTCCATTATGAAGTCAATTGTTGATTTTATAGCAAAATTGTAATAATAGGACGGTTAAAACCTCTAAAGTGAGTACTGACGGATATGATTAAATTCTACAAAGTGGTTTGAGAACTAGATGGTCGTTGGTAAACCAATAAGAGGAGTAGAATTTATCGTTTCATATAATATATATTTTTGTTGTGAACCAATAAGGCAACAGTAGTATTTGTCGTTTCACATAATATATATTTTTATGGTGCATAATTGAAAAATATTAATGTATTAAGTTAATATGAACATTAAATTTTATATTTATTTTGTTAGTCACTCATTTTAGGGTTAATTGCTAAATAAATCTCAACCTTTTTACGTTTGGCAATTTTATCCCAACCTTTAGATAATTGCATTATAATCTCAACCTCACTTTACTAATGGCAAGTCGAACCTTAAACCAATCGGACATTCCAAAAACGCCAGCGTGTCCGGCAGCTTACATCTACGTGGATTTTTCGGCTTGCGTGAATATACTCAAATTGTTTTAATGTCAATTAAACTGAAATTAAGAAAAGAAATTTGGAAACGATAAAAGAAAGAAGAAGAAAAGGAATCTGAATTCGTTTCGTTCTGTATACAACATTTCTGGGATCTGTTAATTTATCATTAAAATTCTTTTAATGTTGATTAAACCAACATTAAGAATTGTTGTATCTGTTCGCAACTGCAAACTGGAATCTGGGATTTGAACCCTTCTCACCGTTGCCCGTCTGCCGTTCTCCCGTCCTCGACGTCGCGTCTCTACCGTCGATCATCGCCGCTGAGGCTGGATACCGGAAAACGCGCGGCCAAGGGCCTCTGCCGCTGGGCGGCTGAACTTCATTAAAAAAAAAAGGGAGGAAGGAAATCTGGGATTTAGAATCTCGTTCCGTCAGTCATCAGCCCTCCCGCCACTGTTGCGCTCGGCGTCTCAAAATCAAGCTTAAAAAAAAAAAAAAAAATTGGTGGTTTGACCGCCCCATGAGAAATCCGGCGAGTGGACGCTGGCCTGGGGCTGACGATACTTGCCGGAGGTTGTGTGACGCGAAAGGTGACGATGGGCGGCGACGGGAAAGCCTGAAAATAGGGTTTTGGGGCTAGGGACTTGGTTCCGAAAATTTGACAAATGTTAAGGCTGTTTTGCAATTTTCAAAAGTTTCAGTTAATTACAATTTGACCCCAGAGTTAAATCTGTAATTTCAAAACAGACCTGGGGTCTATTTTTAATTTTCAAAATTAGTCTGGTGCCTATGTGTAATTTTCTGTATATCCACGTAGCAAGCCGAAAATCCACGTAGATGTAAGCTGCCGGACACGCTGGCGTTTTTGGAAGGTCCGACCAGTTTAAGGTTCAATTTGCAATAAGTAAAGTGAGGTCGAGATTATAATGCAATTATCCAGAGTTTTGGATAGAATTGCCAAACGTAAAAAGGTTGAGGTTTATTTAGCAATTAACCTCTCATTTTATTTTATGTATTCTGTTTAGTTCTCTTGATTAACTCCATAATTCTAATGGGAGCTTAGTAGTCTCTGTAATATTAGTAATTTTTCAATAATATATTTTAGTTAGTTAAACAAAATTATCAACTTAAATGATTTCATAATTCGCAATGAAATAAGCTCTAATTTTTCAATCACTATTGTACGAAATTATGTACGAAAATCTTCAGTGAAAGTCGGCCAATTCAATGTTATGTTTGTTTGGTCGAACCAGCTGCCACTACGCTCTAATTTTTCAGTCACTATTGTTTGTTTAGTAATCACAAAATATAAATCTTTTGCTCAGTAGCTTGCTAGCTACATACCAGGCAATGTGAACCCGCTGCTTCTTTTTCACTTTCAAACAAATGTAAAAAGTGAATAATAATATTTTACCTATTATAATTTTCAAAAACTTATTTTTAGTATTTCAATACCTTTCCATTTTTAGCAGTTTAACTGGTTCAAACATGTTATATATTTATATTGAACCCATTAAACAGGACAAAGATGGTTTAATTTTTAAATCAGTAATGTCTGAGACTAATGAACACAGAATCAAAACTACAATGTGAATCCTGCTTCGTATTTCTCATCATTACATATAATTTTTTCCCTTTAAATTCCTTTCGATTTTCAACTTTTGCCTTTTCTTCTACGCGTCCACCTTGCCGACAGTGATAGATGTTTTTAACTAATATGATTGTGTGATGTGATTTGAAATATCAATCATAATTATAATTATAATATTAATAATGATAATTCAACGTTACTACAGCTTTGTGTCTTTATGCTTGTGGGTTCCTTCAACCTTTCAAACCCTGTGTGTGTCTCAAATAAACTGCAAATCTCGAAAAAATGAAGATAATTACCCTGGCCCCGTAAACGTTATTACTCGAGTGTTAATTACCACTACTGTTTGGAAAATATTTATTTTCATTATAAAGTGTTGATCGAATTCTAAAAAGCTACACCAGAACACCACAATAGATTCCTTTGAAATAGTATTTTGCATTCTTGAAAATAATATCTCAATAATGATTTGCACTACTCGACTACTGGAATATTCATAAGAAAACCCATTATTTATTTTTGTAAACTTAGAATAAATTAAATTATCTTCGGACTGCGTATGAACATTGGAAAGTAGAATTAGACGCTATCATATAGTATTTTAGTGGCCTAAAAAAGGGAGGAGGTCTCCAAACAATAATGCTAAAGAGCCAATTGTCAATAGGACAACTTCATGTGGGACTGTCCCACATAGCTCCAATGTGAGACAGCCCCACATAAAGTTGTCTCATTGGTTGTTGGGTTCTTAGCATTACTGGGTCTCCAAAAGCTTTTTACAACCGTTTTGACCTATGTTTTAAATACCATACTTGTGATCATACCGAACGAGCCACCGGTACGCGGTTCAACCGGTTTTACCGTCTATTTTACCGGTTGTAATAAATATTAAATTAATCTATTATTGTAATATAAATAATATATAAAACTGACTATAATAAATACTAAAATTATCTAAAGTCAAATAACAATGTAAATATATTAAATTTAAGAGTAGAACTTTCTATTTAAATAAATAAATTAATAAAAATATGTTATAAAAATATTTTTTTTAAAAAAATCTGGTATGTCCGGTGTTTTAGCCGGTATTTTGGCCGATAAAACTGGTATTTTTCGGTATGAAGTCGGTATAAACCGGTATTTTGGCTAAAACGGTATTTTGGAGGTAATCATACCGGTTGGACCACTGATATCCGGTATTACCGGCAACACCGGCCGGTGCATACCGGTACTTAAAACACTGGTTTTGACTATTAAAAACTCATGATGATATTACAAAGTTAGGATATATCAATAATATACATATATATATATATATATATATATATATATAATGTGGTTCAAATGAGAATTAAGTTATCGCGTGAGAATTATGAAAACAATTATTTTTAATTGTGTATAATATCATGATTGATTGTATTTTAGTGCTATTTTTAATTAAATTGTATTTTATTAAAAATAGCAACACAATATTTTTGAAAATGATAGCACATGTAATTCTTAAAATAGCATCCTACACAATTAAAAATAGCATCAAATACGGTTCTCACGGTTCTCACACCAAGGCTAGTTATTTTAACCAGTTTATATATATATATATATATATAGAGAGAGAGAGAGAGAGAGAGAGAGAGAGAGAGGAAGAAAAATGCTATAGATACATAATATTGTAAATAGGGTTGTACATAACACTAACATTGAGCGAGAGCGACCAAAAATAAAAAACCAAGTGGACCCCACTCCATGTGAGTGTTATGTACACCTATATGTACATTTATTATGTACTTGTAGCATTTTTTCACACACACACACACACACAGGGTCGACTCTTTGGGAAGGCAGCCTAGACCCATGCCTAGGGCCTCCCCATATATTTGGGGCCCATTTTTTTTTTCAATATTATGTATTTGTGATTAATTTGGCCTATTTGCACATATGAAATGATTCATGGCTAAATATAGACTTGACCCATTATACATATGAATGAGCTAATTAATGAACGGGCTAATGGCAAAATATGTACTTTGTGTGGAATTTTGAAACCCTAAATATTTCATTTGTTTTCTTATGATGTTCGGTTAGAATAATTGTGTGAGAATAAATATTATTTGCAGTGATATGGTTTTTATTTCTTCTCCTTGTTGTTCTCATGACTGCTTGAATGTAATTTATTAAATATCTTTGTAACCCATAGGTAATTTATCAATTCCAAGGTCTAGGAAAAGAAGAAAAATTATTTTTTTCAATTATTTATTTAATAGTCTTGTTTAATTAGGTTTTTTTCTTCTATGATTCTATCAGCAAATAGCCTAATTACCATGCAAGTTCAAATCGGGAAATTCAAAAAGGACAAACTTGTCTAGGGCCTCTAAATTTCTGGAGACGGCCCTGCAAACACACACACACACACACACACACACACACACTTATATACATTACGGGCCACGCTTCGGTGAGAATGATGTTCAGTGAAAGAAATAAGAATACATCGTGGCTATTAGATCGATTAATCCAACGGATAAAAAAATGTCAATATTATACACTCATTAAGGATATCTTAGATATCTTACACATCCCATTTACAAACCTAATCCTATCAGTGGGCCCCACATCTTAATTCCCCCATCCCTTCTCGCTCTCTTTCTCTCTCTCTCTCTTGCAGGTTTGTTATCCCTGTCGTCGGCGCCCATTTCGGTGAATCCGGCTCCGTCCGTTAGCAGCCCAACGATCGGCGCT